GTAAAAGCCGTGTCAAATTAGTTTTCAAACATCACGAAACTTCAGAAACCCACCACTTCCTATGGAATGCTTCTGAAAGACTAACCGAAAATCATCCAATCCTTTGCGATGGCAGGTCGAGGTACACTAGTCGGCCGCAAGCTTGGTTCGATCCGAACGTGGCCACATAGTTATCGTCCTTAAAGTGTGTTGGAAGAGCATTTTATCTATTGGAATTTTAAGTCAGGGCGACAGGCTGTCCTGTGCCCGGAGCGGCAGCAGACCGTCAACCCCTTTCTGTTGCAATCTCTGCCTGTTTGCTCCTCTGATTGTTCAGGTGCAGAGTTTAATCGCTTCCCCCTAATATCAAACCTTCCCTAATATAAGAACACCCGGTCCCCAGAAATTCGCGGTTTCGGGTCCGCAATTGAAAGTTAATCAGAGGGGGCCTAGGGTTGTATTAGTTTTAATAGAGCCACAGACTACAGCAGTACTAATCAAACCGAAGAGACCGGAGCTGTAGGGTTTAGGGCTCAGGGCTAAAGCCTTAGGGCTTAGGGGTTTAGGGCTCGAGATTTAGGGCTGAGGGCTTTAGGGTTTAGGGCCCAAGGTTTAGGGCTTAGGGGTAAGCCGGAACGGCTGCGGAGGATTTGGTCGCTGCTGTTTGTCTGACTGTACTGACTTTTGTCAATTCGACTCATACCCGGATGCACCGGAACCCCCGTAATATTAACACGAAATTCCGGAAATTAACTTAATTATCAAATTCGGCCGGGGGAGGAAGGGATTAGGGCTGCTGCCGTCGGCTGCACTAGGCGCCAGATGATTGAAGGTTAGGTGTGAAGACTCAAGGTTTTAGGGTGAGCAGCTTCAGTTGCAGGGCCCAGGCTCTTCAGGTTCAATTCAGGATAGCGGTGTAAAGCGTCGGAGATCTTTCTGGCCGGCTAAAAGTCTGGAAGCGTGCGGGCAAGCGTGCGTGCGTGCATATTATACATGAGCCGGGTTTCTTGCCTCGTAAGAACTTTCGGGCCATGCAGCTTGATGGTTTGAGCGGATCGGGCTCCTAAGCCTTGGAACCGTGACCTCTCCTGTCGAGCCACCGCAAAAGCTAACAGACATTCCCGAGAAGCGCCTAGCACTTCTTGCATCACTTCAAACAGTGACAGCCGGAAAATCGAAACGCTACCGTCAACATCCTGAAGCTCCAAAGCCCATACACCCATGCCTTCGTCCCTAGGCTCTAACAGAGGACCAAAAAGAAAATCCATCCTTCCCTTGCCAAGATTCGCTGGATTGAGCCATGGCCAAGAGCCCGGCCTTTGATGCGTCCCCTCAATTGCTCCCGATTCGTGTTTCCATCCTCGACTTCTGTAGCTGATACCATAATCACACAAAGCAAACATGACCTGTACACGATATAGGGTCGACGACGAAGAGCAAGGCGTCACCATCTGGGCTCTTGCTGCACAGAACTAAGACACTAGAGTCTCTAGAGCTCAGAGTTCTCGGTCGAGAGAGCTTATGCTCAAATCAGCAACGTCCGAACGGAAACCTGCCCGCGACAGGAACCCAAGAAATCCTACTGCTACTGCTACTGTTACTACTGCTGCTCCTACCTGCTACATGCTACCCGCTATGTACTTGCCAGTTGCGACCTGATTCTTGCTACTGCTACTGCTGCTGCTGCTGCTGCTGCTGCTATTGCCGCTCCTGGTACTGCTGCTGCTCCTGCCACCCCTCCGCATCCTCCTCGCGCTGCTGCTGCGGCTGCTACGTTCAGACCTTGACGGCACAGTGCTTCAGTAAGGGGAAGATATTGACGTCCCAGCTTCATCGTAAGCGCTTTGTAGCAGTCGGACCCGAGCATTTGTCTCTTCCAGCTCCACCATTGCGAGGTCGTCACCTGTCTTGCAGGCAGAAGGTTTGAAGACACATTCGTGTCGCAAGCGGCACTAACTTAAAAACCCTACATCTTACTGACGGCCTTGTGTTGTTCTTGTGCTAGAGATTCGGCTCGGATTTGAGGCATTCGGGTCATCTAGGGGTTTCGGAGTAGTCAGGTAATGATTGGACTCGCCAGGATTGGGCCCATATAAATTGAGGTACCCATGCTGGGGGTTCCGGCAAATGCAAAGCACGTGTAGATACCATGCAGGCACCCACCATGGCCTTATTAAAGCCAATGTTCCTAAATCCCAAACACCCCGGGAAGCCGTGAGCACAGCGAACGGCTTACGCCATGCTAAACGCTGTCAGCCCGTGAGCATCGGATCACTCACAAAGCCCGTAGAAACCCAATCCAATTGACGAGGTGCTGCTGGACTCGAGGTCGTTGTCTCCTACCTCCGGGCTCAGGCTTTTGCTCATACAGCTTCAAAAAGTTTCGGTATAGTGAGGCTTCGGTGTTACCTTGAGGAGGTATGAACTTTGAAAAGCGTTGTGAAGCTCCATGTGGTCTGCTGCGTAGAATTTCAGCTCTTGTATGCGCACTACTACCTCTACCTCTAGTACTATCACTACGACTACTACTATACTACTGCTGCCACTACTACCACTACTACCACTACTACTACTACTACTACTACTACTACTACTACTACTACTACTACTACTACCACTACTACCACTACTACCACTACTACTACTACTACTACTACTACTACTACTACTACTACTACTACTACTACTACTACTACTACTACTACTACTACTACTACTACTACTACTACTACTCTAAGAATACTAGTATTAATCATGACAATACCACAACCACTAACCCTACCACTACCGCTACGGCTACCGTTACCACGACAGCTACCACTGCCAAGATCACCAACACCACTAAGATCACCACTACCACTGGCCTCTACTACTGATTCGTACGATTACTTCTCACTGCTACTACTGCTACAACAACAACTACTACTACTGCTACTACTACTGCTACTACTACTACTACTTCTTCTACTACTACTACTACTACTACTACTACTTTTGCTACTGCTGCTACTACTGCTACTATTGCTACTACTGCTACTGCTGCTACTGCTGCTACTACTGCTCCTACTGCTCCTACTGCTACTACTGCTACTACCAGTACTGCCTACAATTGCTACTACAACGACGGCTACGACCACGACCACCACTACGACTACTACTTGCATTCGTGCTGCCAGTGCTCATTGCACTGGTCGCACTGATTGATTGGTCTGCTAGTGCCGCAATTCCATGTGTGTTGATTGTGCGGCGACGGACTCTAACAGTTGGAGCAAAAGTTGCAGCCACCATCGGTGCAGCGGGCAGCAATCACTGTAGCAGTAGCAGTACTCGCAAGCCCTAGTCTGATGCCTTCCGAGGTGTAGAGGACAGCACCAACGGCCGCGTGTCTGCAGTCGACGCCATGGTTCACACCGCGTTGTCAGTCTACTCCGACTGATAGTTCATGAAACAGAAGACTTCTGGGCTCGAGGCGTGCAGACTCAATTATGATGGTCAAAATGTGTGTGTGCGTGTGTACACGTCAGAGGCTTTCCAGAACACCAGAGCTGGAAGAGCCCAAGCAGGCGGCAAATAAGTAGTATGAACAAGATGTGAGCGTGCACATCCCGCTAGTAGACAAGTCTTTGCCAGGTGTTCAAGAGTCTCTTGAGTTCTGTGGATTTCCGGACTTGCAAGCCAAGGTGGCTAAAGCTCCCGAACTGCGGGGTCTGATCAACTGCGTTCGCAACAAGTGAGCTGTGACAAAGTAATACGTCTTTCTTGCAAAGCAGTTGGCCCGTTCAGAGTTTTGGCTTGGTGCGTTGAAGACAATAGCCAGGCCATGACAAGGTTCGCAGTTGCTCTTGCTTTCGTTTTCTTGCTGTGGTTATTCCACGTGGTTCCCTCGACATCGAATTCTTGAAATGGCCTTTGTTCCTTGCTCTTCGGAAACATCGTTACCTATGCTACTTTGGCTGTTTTCTCCATGTCACATCTCGACAAATTCGACATTTTTCCGGGATGCCCTGGACCTCGAAAGCTTGGCCACGACCATCCAACACATCTAGGTTCGGAGCCTTGGGATGGGGGGAGGGTGAAATGCACTCCACATTTAAAACGCATCTATGTGTTGCTTATGGTTGTTGGTGGCTGTTGGCTGTTGTTGGCTACTGTCTGCTGTATGTTGGCACCTACTTGTTGCTTGTTGCTTGTCGTTTAGTGGTTGTCTGGTAATGGGAATGTGCCCGTATCTGCTTTTGTTTGGCTTGCTACGGCAAAATGTAGCCTGCTTTTTCGATTCACAACTCGAGGGAAAACCAGGTGTTTCGGATTCCACCGTGGAAGAAACCTCATGTTCGAACAAACCAGCAACAAGCAACAAATGCTTCTTTTGCATGAACTCGTGTAACAGCTGGTCTCCTTCCTGGTCGTCATTACCTTATATAGACACAGCGAATGCGCTGAAACATTTGGCTATTAGTCGTGCCGCTGGTCTTTTCCGAATAATGCCACATGTCGTGTACTCTGCTGCTGCTGCTGCTGCCGCTGCTGCTGCTGCTGCTGCCGCTGCTGCTGCTGGCGCTGCTGGTGCTGGCGGGGGGGGGGGGATGCTGCCTTCTCACTAGAGCTTGGTCAGGAAACATCTTCGTCATCGTGGAGCTCATGGTTTCGGCATGCAGAAACTCCAACGAGCTCGTCCGAAGCCCTATACCCCGAACACTCATGAACAAACAAGGCTTTGTGTTCTTGCTACACCCGTGCCGTCAACCCTTGTTCATCACCCAAAGTTTCTCCATGATTCTTCACTACGTGTGAGTGGGGAGGATACAGTGGTCAAAGACCGAAGACAGCTAGCCAAAAACCACAATCCCCACAAGAGGAAACACTCTGGCCCTCAGTCCCCAAGCAGGTGTACTATGGCCTATAAAAACCGTTGTACTTGCAAGCCATGAGCCCTGCATCGAGAGAACCTGAGAGATAGCGGTCAGGAGTCAAGTACTCCGCTACCCAGCAGTTACAACCTCCATCACCAGGAGCTGTGCCTAGATTTGGGAAGAAGTTGAACTCGATCAGCTTTGCATCTCCTATGCGAGCCAAAAAACAAGGTGATTGACAGCCCTGGGTTATGACGTACAGGATTGCGGAGTTAGAGGATGGGTAAGGGCGAGGGTTGGACTTTAGCGAAGTGAAGTGTTGGCTCGTTCCTTCGGCATTCAGCGAAATGTCCACAAGCTTTGTGGTGAACAGCGTTAGGGAACCTCGACAGGAGATCTGTGCGATCGTAGGCGAAAGCCGCGAAGCTAAGGTCAGGAAATTTGCCTGTTTGACCAGGTTGTATCGTCAGACATGTTCCAGTAATCCTCTGGAAGCTTGACCCCAAAGCCAAACGCTTTCAGGAGGACCCAAGCCTTCTAAGCACAGGCAAAAGCCGAGCGACGTGAGGTTCGTGGGAGTGTGGGGCTTTGGGATTTCGATCCGGGATTCAAACTTCTCATGCTCTGAATAAGAGTGTTAGAGCCCTGCCGAATCTGCCACATCTCCACCGCACGTTCTGTCTGGAGACGGTGCTTTGGCTTAGACTTTGAGGGTTTGGAAGCTGAAAACTCTGAGATGTATACAGTATATACAGTTAAGTGTGGGCCTAGACTTAAGGCACCATCTTTCCTGATCGCTCGATGAGGGCATCGCCGCCCACCAAGGCATAACGGTCCAGGCTGCTGGCCTTGCGCACAAGCATGTGTCTGAGGCTTAACCGGTCTGCATACACACAGAGATTGCTAGCTCGTGTCGCTTGTGCGTCGATTCGACATGTCCAACATCAAGATAGAGAGGTTGCTGCCTGCATATATGATTCAGTGACCAGCGCAATCGGGTCTTCTCCCCCACCTAGTCCAGTTTGAAGTAATTTTGTTAAAGAGACCACCGGCCTGCAAGTGAGCACAGGCTTCACGAGCCATAGTGGTGCAACGAGTTCCAAGTTCTTTCTGCTGCGGCTCATTCTGTAAGTCCTCTGAGTCGTCAGGAGCAAGCAAGGCGGGACGGCCATCGATATCGAGGGTGATCTCCACAAGCACCGGAAGCTCCAATTGGCAACAGAAGAACCCCAGCCACCCCAGTCTGAAGCCTGAATCCCCGCATGCCGTGGGGCATTGTCTGCGAGTCAGGCAAACAGGAACGCCAAGAGATCACAAAGGTCCGTCTACATACAGGTTCTAGGCTATCGGCTGCGCAGGCAGTGTAGCTCAAGTTCCTCCGGCCTAGGAAAGACACCCAACCTTGCATCCTCACGAATCCTGATTACCTTAGATTGCACGGTACAACGCTCGTCAGCCAAGACCTCTGACGGCAACAAGGCTGCACCTTAGCCCTCTCATATTGAGTTTCCTCACGAGAGCGAGCCAACCACTCGAACAGATGTCTAGCAGGAAGAGTGCTGAGAGCCGAGTTGTGTTCCTACGATGATGGACGGAACAGCAAGATCAATTGAATCTAAGGGTAGGCCTCCAGCAGAGGCCAAAGTGCCGGTAGGGCCTAGCACGGCCGGAGTTTTGGATTCCAGAAATCCCTGGCTTTGAATACTTTCCATTCCTAAATCTACACAAATGCAGGACGTCGGGCTGCGTTTAGAGGGCTAGCGGCTTCGGGCTGTGGCCCGTGCATACAACCTGCGAGTCTTCAACCCCAAAGCCGGCACGAAGCGGCATAAACCTCAACGACACCTTTTTGACCCTCTGCTCCTCTGTGAGGCATTGTCGCACGGCGCTTCGCCAGCGCTCGGCCTTTCGCTGCTGTTGCATCATGACGGTTTACGTTCCGGGCTTACCTGAGGTTGCGAGCAACATCGCAGACTGTAAGGCCGGCTTTTTCCGACTGACCGTGGTACGATCTTTCTGTGTTTGCCACGATAGGTAAAAGGTGTTCAGTTTCACAAGATCCGGAATCCGGATACCGGGCATGTACATTTGCACACTATGGTAAGTTCCCTTGCCAAACCGATTCGTTTTCTCTCGACCAGTGTGTGGTCTCTCGCTGCGGCTTCCAGCTTTGACCTCGTCCGTGCTTGTGATTCCTTGACCAGCAGAAAACTCAGTGCACGATCCTAAATCCTTAGTCCATAGAGCCCCTGAAGCTTAGACCTAAAGGCCCCAAACGTCTAACTGCGGGCCTCGGGCTGCAGGTGCCAGGGACGCAACCGATCGGCAGCCCCGGCACTGTGCATCTCGTCATGGCAGACCTGGCTGGATGTGCGAACTAGGGCCGCCAGTACGGGGTCCCTTAGTTGGGTTCCTTCATGTGGGGTCTGATTTCCTGTTCCTACTTTAACTGAAACTTCCAAACTTGTGTCTGGGTTTTAAGTCTACTCAAGGGTCTTCGAGGAAGTTTTTGCAGCAATCGTGTTTTTTGAAACCTGGACGGAACACCGACCAACATGTAGACCAGTCCGCGAAACGAGAACCGTATTAGACCCCGGAAAAGTCTAGTATGGTCATGGTGGTTGCTAATAGAGCCCTCTACAAACTGAGGGTTTGCGACAAGTGCAGATTACGGACTGTTCAACCTAATCGCTCAAAAGCTAAGTATCAAAACTAACCTCTGCAACACCGACGCCCTGCCATTTCTACGAGACAAGCTCAGAAGTAGGGATACTGATGCTCAAGTACATGTTAATCCGAAGGTGTACGAAGATACCTAGAGTTCTGAAGATGCGGAACACCCAACCCTACATTACCCGGCCTACACCCAAGACCCCAGCCCCGAATCCAATGCCTGTCCAATCTTGGCGGCGTAGGGCTTACACGACCCTTTTCAGACCCTCGCCCTTTCAGACCTTGCATCGGGTGTTGACGAGTTCAAAAGGGATCATGGAATTCCACACCTATGTCCGTCGGAAGATACTGTATCACAAACCTAATGAACAAGACAGTTTCTACCTTGTAAAAACAAAATGGTACCTTCTCAGCCTCCTGCGACAAGATAGTGCAACATGATGCAACATGCACAACATGTGACAACATGCTGCCACATGGAAGAGGTCTCGATTGGTCTCCCTACGAGGGTCTAGATTGGTACCGCCGACCATTCCAGACCTTCCCTTCTTCGGCTGCCAGAAACCCCCCCGAATCCAGACCCTCGCAAACTGAGTAGATCTTGTTGCCATAAATGCTTCTTTGATCTTTTTCCTGACTGACTTGGATGATATGCCCCCTGTCCACTTTGGCAACCGTACTGGTCCCTCATCAGCCCACCCTGACACACCAACTCCGCCTGAACATCGTAGTCAGTGCTCGCAGGGTCATATGGCTTCTCATGCACGACGACAACACCTAGGCAAACCCAATCAGGAAAAACCCTCAGAAGGGCATACAGCTGCGAGGCTTACGGTTCAGGGTTTTGGACAAACACGAGCCAGGAACAACAGCAACAAGGAATCTCAGTGCACTCGACATAAACCCCAATGTAGACAGACTATTTCGCGAGCCACCTGCTCAGTTGGCTCGGCTTGAAGTTTCAGCTGCACCTAACTCGTCAAAGCACTGCGTTCATATTTCTCCTGGCTACTTCGAAGCCATCATCAGCACCATGGTCTGTGCATGGCCGAAGAAACAGGAGCCAGGAGCAGCATACACTTGGATGCGTTCATGCTTATATTGCTCAAGCGATTTCTGTTTCTGGACCTCATCGAGGCTGCCCAGGCCAAGGTGAGGCACCGCAAGTTCCAGTCATCCCAGAGAATACGAAACCCGGCTGGACAGCCCAAAAAACCTTGCCTGCAACCGACATTAAGCCCCCTCTGACCAGAGCTTTGAGACGCATGGCTGGGCGAGTTGCCCTAAATAGCCACAAAGGCAAGCTTAAACGAATAGGGTTCACCTCGCCCGAACCTAAACAGCTCTATCGGCACCTCGTTTGTGAAGGTAAAGCCGTCCTCCATGGATCAGGAGGTAAAACCGCAACCTTGGTCTGAGAATTGTCTGTGCCTCTCTCGGATTTGGGGCTTGCCGTTTCGGATGTCCGGGAGGGCTAAACATGTGCACGGTTTTAGTCCAAGAGCTCTGGGCTCCAAACTCAGCATGGGCAGCGAATATCCGCTGCAACGATCTAAGCTTGAGGGCCTCTCCTGAGCTGAGGCGTGCACACGAACTTGCGCTGATCCAGTGTTTCCTGAGATTCTGTTGCACACTGAATCCTTCCAACTACTACGAGATGGAGGCACGGTTTCTTGAATGTAAAGTCCATGCAATCAATGGCTGACCAACACGCAGACGTGGATATGCAGCAAAACTTTAGAACTACGGTTGCAATGTACAAGCAGAGGACATATCCCTGAACCCTGAACCGTCAAGCCCAGAACTCAAAAGATTGACCAAGAATCCAAGTCCTGCACGGCCTCTTGCACCAGGGATCCCTCCTCGAGGATGGATTTAGTCCACGAAGACGGTTGTATTCTTAGAGCTGCGGTTGTAAGCTCAAACCACAAAACCTGCTTCGAAGGCGTTGCAATCGGAAGGATAATAAAGTAAGCCATTTTCGGCAGAAGCAAAGTGCTCAACAATAGGGTGAGGTGGTCAGGGGTCCGTATCCATTGTGTTCCGATTTCTCTGTCAGCCTTCCAAACACTTTCATTTGGCAGACCACAGACCTGCAGTCCTACGTTCCTTCTGTTATTGATACCGCAGCCTCCAGTCCTGCTACAGTCCCTGCACCCTACGTTCCAGTGGCTCTTGCAATCGTGAGGCTCCAGATGTGGCGACACAATCCCTAGACTCTGAGAGCGAGCGAGAGAGAGACGGAGAGAGAGAGAGAGAGAGAGAGAGAGAGAGAGAGAGAGAGAGAGAGAGAGAGAGGGAGTGCTTAGATACAGGTTGAGTAATGAGTTAGAAATTCCCATCCTTGAGCACTGGAACTGAGTCCGTGAGGGTATCCCAATAGGCCGCATTATCACTGTACTCTAGCCCAATCGCAATTTGTGTTTGTGTTGTTGCCTCCGGAAACAACATCTAAGACTGTGAACCTTAATGCACACTTAATAGGAGGAAGCAATTAAGCCAAACATATGTAAGGCTTCGCTGGAGTGCAAAACTGTTTCGACCCCAAAATGCGTTTATTCGGGTTTCTTCGAGCCAAGAAGGCCGTATAGCCGCTATAGACCCTTCAACCAAACCCTAAACCCTAAACCCTAAACCCTAAACCCTAAACCCTAAACCCTTCCCAAGCAAACCGTGGCCTCCAAGGCCACCTGGCGCAGCTGCGAAGTGTCTACGACACGGATGCCACGACCACCGCTCTCACAAGGGGGCTTCACCTGGGGGAAGCAAGGAATATGCCTGAAAAGCCTGTTGTTTAGGTTCTGTGTATTACTCCGGAGCCTACATTTTTTCAGCTTGGCCCCTGCGATTGAGACAAACAGAACATCCCGATGTGTATTGAATCACATTGGCCTCTGGCCAGTGCTGCAGGTCTGTAAGCGTGGGTTACATCGGGCAGGTTTCCTCCTATGACACGGCGTGATTTTGGAATTATTTCATCTTTGGCAGTGGAAAGGAGGCTTCGTCTGTGCAGCACTGAGGATTTACATGGTGCCGCGCAGCTCTATGGATTTCTGTCGCCTGTGTACAACGCGCTCTTCATGCCTACGCGACCTACACTTAACTCACGTAACTATGATCATCAGCCTAATCCTCAGCATCATCTTCAGGGTGGGTGGGCAGAAACTGACTTCATCCCAAGCCTCTGACACCATCAAACCCTGCGGTGACACCTACAACTGGACATGTTGCTGTAACGAGCTGCGAAAAACAGCTGGCCCTCTTTGCCGCCGCTGGCTGCCGAAGCCACTTCCTCCGCAAAAGCTTGGATCACTATGCGATGTAGGGCTTTCTGAAGTCCTGGAAGCTCAGGATCGAAAAAACCGTCAGAACAATCAATCAATCAATAGGCTCGGGCGACGAGCGCCCCACCTACTCTATTGATTCAATAGGCAAGGAGTCCCACGAACAATAAACAAAGGGCAAGGTCAAGAAGCTCATGCTACAACCAGTCTAGCACAGGTATGTTCAGGCAGGTGCTGCCTCGTCAGTCAAGTAGCAACGGGCGAAAGTGGCCTGCGGCAGAATCATGAGCCTTGAACCTCTGCTAAACCATGAAATTCCCGGGGTAGAAAACTGCAGATGTTGCGTGCGTAGTCGGCCTTATTGACTAAGGACTCAGCGCAAATGTCTAGAGTTTAAGGTTTCCGGACTCGGGGTGTTCTAATTGTGGACATGTATGAGGATGTCCCTACTCGCCCCATGCAAGCACGAAAAGCAGCAACATCTCAATGCATCGGCTGTGTAGTCTGAATTATGCTGCAGCTGAGCTAAAGCGTGTCGCAGCAGGGAGTCCAGTTCAGCAGGGGTTGAAATTTGTTGGGTTTCAGAACTGCTTACCAAGCAGCACGGGGATGGTACGGAGCTGTTTCATGTTCCGATATCATTAAATGGCGGCAAGTGCCTCTGCCTCGCACTACCGTCAGCGGGCGTATCTAGCATTGCGTACGCACTGAGCTTTGCCTCCCAGCTTTGTTGGTGTAACCTACAAACACCCAGCCAAGGAGTACTCCAGGGCCAAGGGGAGAGTAGGAGCTTAACAGTCGACTGGCCTGGCCGAGAGGTTTCGAAGTTTCCGGCATGCAAAGTCTGTTTTCGAGGTCGAGCAGCTAGCAGGCGGCTAGCCACCGACTTAGGACCTGGAGTACAAGGCGAGCCTAAGCAACCCAAGCCCCGTCTACGACTATTCTCTCTCAAACCCAAACCCTGTAACACATCTGAATCTATCGAAATGCCATTTTTGGCTGCAACATTTGCACTTCATTTAAAGGTTGGAGGAGAGGACATTATGTGCTGGAGGGCATGCAAGGTTAGAATTTATGGATTTGTAGAGGTCAACATGAACGTCTGAATGCTGAACAAGCGCCCACGACCTTGATACTGTATGGCGCAAAAAATGCTGCACCGATTTCCAAGTACGACATCTGCACTGCTCGCATGCCCTCATGACGAAATGATGGAGCCCGCACTGCTGAGACAACAATTGGTCAGAATTGTACCTCCGATGCATGAACACACGACTCGGATCCAGCCTCGCAGCATGCTTCTCTGAGACCTCGCGCCATTGTGTGCAGATTCGGCTTGTGTGTTGTCTATGCCGCATGACAGCATGTGATTTCTGCTCCATGGCTATGGCTATGGGCACGACGGGGTCTGTCTTGTGACTACCGCCACACGGAAAACCACAATGTGCAGTGAGCGCTTTGCTGGAGGCGAGCTGTATACAGAACACACTCACAAAGACACACATTTAGCCCATGATCCGGGTTCTGCCAGAGCTTCCACGATCCCGGAAAGCAGGCTCCTGATTCAGTTGTACTGGTCTCTCAAATACTTAATATGTCGTAAATGAAACCGACGTCCGGCGCAGTCGTGTGGAAACATTAGTGGCGTTTTAAGCAGTGTATTATCGTCCCCGCCTCCGAGCCTAGTCATTCTATAAAAACCGACAGTCAGCCATGCAAGGCGTATGAGCTATCATCAGTCAGAGAATTGGAAGCAACAGCTGAGCGACAGCTGCGAACAAGCTGCAAACAGCAAGGCGGCGCTTGTCATCGTAGGTGTCTGTGACCGAGCGGTCCAGGAGAAGGACCTGGTGGGGGTCGGAATCATGGACTTGCCAGAGTTCAGAATTCAATGGAGTTGATGGATGGACTCAGCCTTTCTGCGCAAAGAGGCATGTCAACAAAGCACATGAACAGAATAGAAGTTGCTGTTCAATCTATTGGCAGCTTCATTGCTCGGCTAGAACGGGATCGAATCCAACCTGCAGAATGGAAATGGTTGACGAGTGGCAGGCCAAGACCACCACCGCCACCACCGCCACCACCGCGCGCCGCCGCCGCCGCCACCCCGACCACCACCGCCACCGTCATCACCACCAGCACCAGCACCACAACCAGCACCAGCACCAGTAATAGCACCATCGTGCCACCTCTGGCACGAGAAGCAGTGGCAGCTGCGAAAGCAATGTCGGCACCAGAACCATTTTTATCACGATGGTCTGAAGCATCATCCCATCATCACAACCACCATCTTCATCATCCCGACACCACCAGCCCGTCGCAATCATCCCTATCATCATGGTCTCGGTCTCCAATGTCAGCAAATCCAACTGCAAAACCGTCGTCCGTATTACCACCACTATTTAGTATATTTTCACCATCAGATCAAGACCATGCCAACCATCCCAATACCCAGCAGCACCAGACAAGAGCAACATTGATGTTCACACAGAGATCACAATCATCTTCTGCTACCGTCACCATCTTCAGTATCATCGAGTCCTCGTCATCGTTGCGGTAATCGTCATCATGGCCGTCCAGAAACGCCCATAAGCATAGACGGAACAGCAGTGCGGAAAATCTTGCGAAGAGTTGCAGAACCTACGTGTTCAAGGAAGTGGATCAAGCGCAGAGTGGCCTTAGACGGGATGGTGTCCAGCTCGGGGACCGGGAAGTAGCCGTCAAAGAAGGTAAACACCTCGAAGCTGAGGGCTCGGGCTCAGGGGGTGTCGCTCCGAAGGTCCAGGTCGGAGGATCGCGGGCTCAAGCTTTCGCTGCCTAGTGCTTTGCACAGCCCGTACGCTACAGTACAAGGTGACTTGTCTCTTCCAGCCAGGAGGTCACATCGATGCCGAACCTAACCTGCAAGCAAGGACGACCGGCTCCCCATTATGGGATCAGACCCTTTCCAGCATACCTTGCTGACACAAGCAATGCACGTTCCCAGCACAGGTTTGGGATTCCCGAATTGAAGTAAAGTTTGTGGCTGGCGCACATTACATATAAACTCTTAACTTTGGGCCTCGGAAGCTGGTTCCGAAACTGCTCCGCTCGACATAGGCTGAGCACCTGACCGGAATCATTGCAGGTAAGCTTGACTCTGTCGCAGCAAGCTGGCAGAACCTCAAATCGAAGCAGGGTTTGTGGTCTGAGTGGAAGCGTCGCTGCCCCTCCATCTCATGGTGGCTCAAGCTGCCGAGTGTCACTAGATTGACCATGTTGGGATTTAGTCGCGCGGGCTTCGGATTCCCTGCGGCCTCTTAACAATCTTAGCTGTCACAGGGATCAGGCACAGCTCACACTCATGCACGTTCACACACGTACGTCCTCGTGCATGAGAGCTCTGCTCGTTGAGCTTCCAGGGCTTTTAGCCGACAGGCTGCACTTTCAGGTTTAGGACACTTTAGGCTGCAAATGTTTTGGCTTTATGATGCGTGTCATGAACCTCCAGTAATCCCAGCACTAGATGCGGCTGATCTAGAAACCTGACCCAGGCATAGGGGTAACTCCGCAGCGCCGGCGTTTCGGGTCTCAGCCAAGAGTTCTACGAGCACATGGGGACTTCAAGATGTGCTCGGGAGCTTCGAACTCCGGGGTTTCACCAGAAGCTTTCGAGTCCAGCTTTAATCGTTAAGCCCTTCAAAAACTGGAGGATCCGAGTAGATTCGAAACTCTAAACTGCTGAAGCAAAACGTGTCTCTGGCACAAGGGCTTCAGCTCTCAGCCGCTGTAGGGTTGGATCAGGTCGCTCTTTGGAAACAAGCGGCGCTTGGTCGAAGTTGATGAGACAGCGATCCACATAGAAACGAAACGGACCGGCCTCTTTCAGAAGCTTTTTGCCTTCGGCGGGGTTCGGGTGGAATGTTGAGGATTTCAGCTGCTTGAATCCTTTTACTCACCTTGCTTCCAGATGGCAACTACAGTTTTACCTTCTCGATACATGTACGAGTCGAAGCCGAAGCCTTGCACTCGTATCAATTTCTGAATTCTGGGGTCAAGCACGCACTGTTGCGAAAACTCGAAGCCGTGTGACCTAGACGAAACGCGATCCCGAAACCGTCAGCTGTTTCGCCATCAAGATCTAGCCAGCTCGAAGCATCACTCTAGAAGTGAACTTCGCGAAGCCTGAAAAGGATCTGAACAAACTTACTATATACATACACCAATTCTACACCAATTCTACACCCCGAATCGCCAAACCCTCGCAGCGGCGAGTTTCCGACCGGTCTCAACAACGGCCAAAGACATGCTCCGGGATCTAAACGGTCAAACCCGAAGCGCAACTAAGTACGCTCAGCTGACTCCCTGAACTCCCAATTGTAGTCATGCTACAACATGGTACCAACCGTACAAACCAGGCGCTGTCTTGTGCCTCCCGAACCCTCCTCCTGAACCCTGGCGAAAACAGCCGCGGCAACAAAGACGGCGGCAGAAGCTGCGGTGACAGCTTCCTTGGTGATTAGAAGTGATCTTCTTGCTAGTGTTACTGTCACTGTCGCTGGTAATTGTAGTAGTACTACTAATAGTAGCAGTAGCAGTAGCAGCAGCAGCAGCAGCAGCAGCAGCAGCAGTAGTAGTAGTAGTAGTAGTAGCAGCAGCAGCAGCAGCAATAGCAGGCGTCGGAGCAGGAGTGGGAGTAGTAGGAGCAGTAGTCGCCCTCGTCGTCGTAGTGGTAGGAGTAGTAGTAGTAGTAGTAGTACTACTACTGCTACTACTACTACTACTACTACTGCTACTGCTACTGCTACTGCTACTGCTACTGCTCCTGCTCCTGCTCCTCCTGCTCCTCCTGCTCCTCCTGCTCCTCCTGCTCCTCCTGCTCCTCCTGCTCCTCCTGCTCCTCCTGCTCCTCCTGCTCCTCCTGCTCCTCCTGCTCCTGCTGCTCCTGCTGCTCCTGCTGCTCCTGCTGCTCCTGCTGCTCGTGCTGCTCCTGCTGCTCCTGCTGCTCCTGCTGCTCCTGCTGCTCCTGCTGCTCCTGCTGCTCCTGCTGCTCCTGCTGCTCCTGCTGCTCCTGCTGCTCCTGCTGCTCCTGCTGCTCCTGCTGCTCCTGCTGCTCCTGCTCCTCCTGCTCCTCCTGCTCCTCCTGCTCCTCCTGCTCCTCCTGCTCCTCCTGCTCCTCCTGCTCCTCCTGCTCCTCCTGCTCCTCCTGCTCCTCCTGCTCCTCCTGCTCCTCCTGCTCCTCCTGCTCCTCCTACTCCTCCTGCTCCTCCTGCTCCTCCTGCTCCTCCTGCTCCTCCTGCTCCTCCTGCCCCTCCTGCCCCTCCTGCCCCTCCTGCCCCTCCTGCCCCTCCTGCCCCTCCTGCCCCTCCTGCCCCTGCCCCTGCCCCTGCTGCGGCTGCTGCTGCTGCTGCTGCTACTGCTACTGCTACTGCTACTGCTACTCCTACTACTACTACTACTGCTGCTGCTACTACTACTACTACTGCTACTACTACTACTACTACTACTACTACTACTACTACTACTACTACTACTGCGACTACTAGCTACTATAGCTCCTAGTTGCTTGCTGCGGCTGCGTGCCGCTTGCCGCTTGCCGCTTGCCGCTTGCCGCTTGCTACTTGCTACTTGCTGCTACTACTACCGCTGCTACTACTACTACTGCTACCAGTACTAATACTAGTACTCGTACCCGTACTCGTACTAGTGCGTTGTGGTTGGTGGTGGCGGATCAGGCGTTGCTGTTCTTACCCCGGCATTCACTCCCCAACATTGTCGCTGGCCTTGATGTTACATCCCACTGGCGTGGCTGCATGCTATGTGCATAACTGCAGTTGCACAACTATGCGTTGGTACAGCGTTGCTTGTTTATCCAAGGCTCAACCTTGACAATTGGTTCAAGGGTTCCAGGATTGTTTCGTATGCTTACGAATCACCCCGCAGAACATGTAGCAACTTGCAAGTTGTAATTAAGTCGTGCGTCTGACTTCAAGTGGCCCGGTTCGCAGAGTATCTGCAGCTTCAACCCTCCTCCCCGACTCCCCACACCCCGCCGTCGCAGCGTTCCGCGAGATCTTCAGGATCAGAGAAACCGGAATCATTTAGCCTGCTTGCGCCAAGAGTCAGGCAGCGCTCTGCGAGCTGTCCGAGGCTCAGGGTGCCTGACCACTCCCAAGTGAGCCCCCTATTCACGAGCTCGAGCTCGGCTCAATGAGTTCGTTGGCATCCCTTGGTGTATCCTAGGAACGATGATACAATTATACAAGTAGTCTGACAGCGCCCTGAGGGTACGAAGCCGCAGCTTTGAGTGTGAAGCCTAACCATTACCAATGAATGTGCTGCCTCGGCCCGGCTAGGCTACGACAGTGATCGTAGAGATTCGCATGAGGAGACAGCAGAAGTCGTCAGATCACAGTCGTGAACACACCGATAATCATCACGATGCCGCACATGAGCGGTATAGAAGTATGGTGACATGTACAGGTTGAGCAAACACGACGAGCGTGGCCCCAACCCCGGTGGCCCGCGTGTGCATTAATTAGTCTTCACTGTGGTCCCGGCTCGTTCTGAATGGCACGGGGCTTTTGTGTATTAGTAGTCTCGTTGCAGCTTTGTTGGCACATGCCGACGACTACAGTGTGCAGGCACAGTCAAAGGTGCCATGCTGGTCAAAACACAATTCTTGATACTGGCCACTGCGGCTGTATATTGGATAAGTACCGATAACGAGCCGAACGACGTTTACAACAACCGCAATTTGAAGGTGACGCAATGATCCTGCCGTCAGTAATTATTTGTCGCTGTCGGGCACACAAAACACATGATGACTCAACGTGGCCCTTGGGTCGGATGCAAAGAGAACTGGCAGAGCTGTATGTGCAGGGCGCAGGGCCGGTCGCAGCTCCAGACAGACTCGTGGACCAAACTCCCCGCTGTTCGTGGCTGAGCCCTTTGGTCATGGGCCTCGTCGTTGACTTTTGTAGCACAGGAACCGCCTCCTGTGTCGACAGCTCTATAAATCGGAATCGCCTCCCGAGCTCTCCTGGCCGGAAAGTCGTCTTCTGTACTAGTATCGTGGTCTAAGGGTCGTCTTGAGAAGGCCTCGAGAGGCTTCGCCGTGGTCTGTGCCTTACTTTTAGAGCGGCCTTCTAGGGTTTCCGGTGTGGCTTTGGCAAGGTCATGGTGTGCTCAGAGAGTGCTAGGCGAGTGTGGTCATAGAATGATGCTTGAGACTCTGCGGTCTGCACTGGCATCATCATTTGCTCGACTACTCGTGCTGATGACATGATCTCAGCACTACTGTACCAGGATTGGGTTTGGCGCTGTGACAGTTGTGACAATTGTGCCATTATCAGCTGTGTCAACATCAATAATGGACTGCAATCCGTTCGGCGGCCTCAGCAAGCGGCAGCTTGCCCAAGCGCCGGGAGCCCTCATCGGTCGCTCCGCAGCTGCAACGAAAGCATCCTGTGTTGTTACAGTTTCGGGTTTCAGGCCCCACACACACACACTCTCTCTCTCTCTCTCTTTGTCTCTCGCTCTCTCTCTCTCTCTTTCTCTCTCTCTCGCTCTCTCCATCCGTCTCCCTCCATCTCCCTCTCCCGCTCCCCGGTCTTGCTCGAAGATTGGGCTTCAGAGCCCACGAGCAACTTGCAACTGTTATGTGCTGCAAATAAACAATGGGAGGCATGCTCGGTTGCGTCCACTACAAGTACCATTGAAGCGGAGAGCAGGTGCACTGCACATCCCAAGACTGCAAAACAAAAGCTGAGTGGGTTTAGGTCCTGTCCTGCATGTGAGAGAAGCGGAAACGGTTCAAATCTTCATGCTCGCCTCATCTGAAAAGCGAATCGAATCTGCTTCTGCATTCGCCCATTAAGCACCCTATAAGGCCCGCGGTGGTCGAGTCCTCCTTCGACTGACTTGCGCCGCAGCACCATTTGGTTTGCAAGGCCTCAACGCCCAACCCAAAGTCCTAAACCGTTTTAGCTTCAGGTCAGAGTCCATTCCAATTCTTCCAATCTCCACCCACCACTGCACAAGTCCAATACTGGCATCACCTCGGAGTCGTCTGCTACACGAGGATTCCTGAAGCTGCAAGTGTAAACCGTTACCACATGTGTCGTGCTGTCTTACACAGGGGGAGGAGAAGCTTGACTGCGCAAAGTCTGGACACAAGACTGAAGAGTCCTCAAGCCTGCACGCAGCAGTCACGTTCGAAGCCTCTGCCATTGATGCAGCACTAAACTGAGGACTTGGCTGCACAGCAGAACAGGGACACACAGGCAGCGTGCAGCCCCCTCCTGCCACACATTTTTTGGCTCTCGAGTTTGGACTGGATCTGTCCATAGCTTTCGTATGCCTATATATTTTTTTCACCGATCGTCTACTCAACAATCGGATTTCAAGGTACTCGTCCAACTGTCGCCTATTGTGTCTGATTCCAAGCTTCACGCCCGATTCATCTGCGTAATCCCTTCCCAATATTATTAAACCCCCTAATAGAAAAAATCCCGGGCCTCAGAATTTCGCGGTTTCGGGCCCGCAGTTGAAAGTAAATAAAACCATTAGGGGGGGCTAGGATTGTATGAGTTTTAATAGAGCCAAAGATTACAGCTGTACCAATCCAACCGAAGAGACCAGGGCTTTAGGGCTCACAGTTTAGGGCTCAGGGCTTTAAGGTCTAGGGCTCGAGGTTTAGGGCTTAGGGCTTTAAGGCTTAGGGCTTTAGGGTGATGCACCGAACCCCCCCTAATATTAAAACAAAATCTCGGAAATCAGTTTTTATACTAGGGGGAGGGGGGAGGGGGGTTTAATATTAAGCGGAAGGGATTAATGGTGGATGCTCGAAGGCTCGCAGGCTGCAAATGCATGCGGTTTTGTTGTTATTCTGCGCAGATTCAGACTTTCGAGTGGCCTCAGAGAACGCTGGAATTGTTGGCAGCACAACCAACTCCGGTGAACCAACCTTTGTCCAAAATCCTTGCTCGTCCTTCACCCCGTCCCTCCACACTAGAACTTACATCCGCCAAACCCGAGTCCTGAATTCCCTCGTCTGTCCAATTCTCGACCCCACAACATCAACCTCTGACAAAACCTCCAGGCGCCGGACTTCGGGCTTGGGGCACCCCGGCTGGCGTCCGCGCGTGTCGGCGCCATGATGCAAGCTAAGGGTTTCTAGGATGGGAGTAGTTGTCTTGTAGTAGTAGTAGTAGTAGTAGTAGTAGGAGGAGTAGTAGTAGTAGTAGTAGTAGTAGTAGTAGTAGTGGTAGTAGTAGTAGTCGTAGTAGTAGTAGTAGTAGTAGGAGTAGTAGTAGTAGTAGTAGTAGCAGTAGTAGTAGCAGGAGCAGTCGTAGTAGTAGTAGTAGCAGCAGTAGTAGCAGTAGTAGCAGTAGTAGCAGTTGTAGCAGTAGTAGTAGTAGTAGTAGTAGTAGTAGTAGTAGTAGTAGTTTAGTAGTAGTAGTAGTAGTAGTAGTAGTAGTAGTAGTAGTAGTAGTAGTAGTAGTAGTAGTAGTAGTAGTAGTAGTAGTAGTAGTAGTAGTAGTAGTAGTAGTAGTAGTAGTAGTAGTAGTAATAGTAGTAGTAGTAGTAGTAGTAGTAGTAGTAGTAGCAGCAGCAGTAGCCGTTGCGGTAGAGGTGGCGGTAGTAGCAGTTGCAGCAAAAGTAGAAGAAGTAGAAGCAGAAGTAGTAGTAGGAGGAGGAAGAGTAGGAGTAGCACAAGCCGCAGCAGTGGCAGTGGCAGTGGCAGTGGCAGTGGCAGTGGCAGTGGCAGTGGCAGGGGCAGGGGCAGGGGCAGGGGCAGGGGCAGGGGCAGGGGCAGGGGCAGGGGCAGGGGCGGGCAGGGGCAGGGCAGGGGCAGGGGCAGGGGCGTCTTGGTTCGCTTTCTTTCGAAAGGAGTTCACCTTCTGGCAGATCGTGTACCAGTCGGGGACACTGATCGTGTCGCATCGGGTAGAGCCCTTTCGGACGAACATCGGCTTCCGGACCCATCGGCATTTCGATGTATCCCAGTGGTTGTCGAAGAAGACTTTGCAGTAGAATCCGTGTGTTCGTTCGATAGCGATGTGCCACCCCGGAGGCTTTGTCTCGTGGTCGTCGTCGCGGTCGTAGAGTCTTCGGCGATCTGCTTGGTCATAGGGAAGATCGCGAAGATTGCCTCGTACTCCGAGTTTGGCCGGTGACAGATCGGAGTGCTCCGCGTACCACACGAAGTCCTCGTTGGCCCCGGTCGCGCACTGGTAGCAGCACCTGTAGTGGACATTGCGCCAATCGTCTTCGCCGTCGGGGTTGATCGAGAGCAGGTAGTAGGGCGGGAAGAGGAGACCACAGAAGGTGCAGTCGAGGGAGCCATCGTGGATCTTGTCGGCGCCCGGGGTCCTGAAGTACTTGAGGTACATCTGCACTCGGTCGACGTCCCGCTTGTGATGGTCCTCGATCGATGTTCCATCGCGTCCAATGAGTTCGATGGGCATCCCGCTGTCATCGACTTCCTCGCCAGTCAGTTGTCTGCGCCAGATCATTGCCAGCTCGGCGTCCGAGGAATTGGGGAACTGTCGGCGTAGGGATGACATCGCGGACAATTCGGAGGCCCGCTTCAAAGCGATGATCTCGAGGGCCCTTTGTGTGTTATGGTCATCGTAGAGCCTTCGTTGCATCTTGAGAGCACGGCCCGCATCCGTGTCGGGGTCAACACCTTCCAGATATCGCGCGGCCGGCAAAACTGCCCCGGAGCTACTCCCGGGTGTCTGGGAGAACTGTTCGATGGGGTCGGGCGCAGTCGTCGAGGCCTCAGGAAACTGTTCGATCGGGTCCGAGTCCATCGGGGTCTGACGGTGGCTTGCCATCACGTCGTCGGGATATTCGGGAACACAAAAGGGGGCTTGAGAAGTCGGAGTCTACGGAAGCCAAGCAATCTCCAAGGAGAGAGCAGGCCCCACTACAACTAGCAGAGCCTGATGCACAACCGCAGCTGTTACCCTACTAAGCAAATGCAGAATGCTGTCCTTGTTGTCGTGTGAAGCGAGGCTGAATTCGAGGCAGGTCAGAGTGGGTCGGGAGGACACATCGCCGAGGCGGAAGTCCTCTTGCACCCGAGGGTCGAGTGACACCAGAAACTCCCGTGCATCGCCGAGGCGGAAACGGTGTGTCTGTGTAAAACGATACTTCGTGGCCTAGGTAAAGGCCCGAGCGTCCTCCCTAAATCGGAGAACAAAAGCCGGTGGCTCAGCGGCGATGATGTTCCGCATTGTCTCGTGTTGAGTGAAGGCACTCCGCATTGCCGGGGAAAGCATGTTCGAAATACATGCGAGGCCGAGGCCTGCTCGCGGAAGAAGGTCGTCATCGGCTCGAAGTACGGCATCTGCCCCGCGAATTGATTGAGGTTGTAGGCCGTGTGGCACCACATTCGGAGTCTGTTCATGCGATCCTCCACCGATGTATGGTTCAGGTCAGGGGCAGGGGCAGGCAGGGGCAGGGGCAGGGCAGGGGCAGGGCAGGGGCAGGGCAGGGGCAGGGGCAGGGGCAGGGGCAGGGGCAGGGGGGGCAGGGGCAGGGGCAGGGGGAGTCGTAGTAGAAGTAGTAGTAGCAGGAGTAGTAGTAGTAGTAGTAGTAGTAGTAGTAGTAGTAGTAGTAGTAGTAGTAGTAGTAGTAGTAGTAGTAGTAGAAGTAGTAGTAGTAGTAGTAGTAGTAGTATCAGTAGTAGTAGTAGTAGTAGTAGTAGTAGTAGTAGTAGTAGTAGTAGTAGTAGTAGTGGTAGTAATAGTAGTAGTAGTAGTAGTAGTGGTAGTAGTAGTAGTAGTAGTAGTAGTAGTAGTAGTAGTAGTAGTAGTCGTCGTCATAGCAGTAGTAGTAGTAGTAGTAGTAGTAGCAGTAGTAGTAGTAGTAGTAGCAGCAATAGGAGCGCTGATAGCCTGCGTCTTGCTGCAGTCGCAAGAAGAGCCGTGAGGGCGCAGATGTTGCGAAGCATTCGAGGCATCGCTAATATGTATCAGTTCAGTTCCGTTCTGCAAGCAGCCCAAAATCTCCGAAACAACACAAGGAATCCCCAAGAAACGTCCGTTCTCTTTTCTACACATTATACTAATACCTCAAGGCATTTCATGATCTTGAGCCAGCCCCAACGAGTTTCGCCGAACTTCCAGTCACACAAGATGCCAACGGAGAGCTTCGGGTTACGCTTTTTTTTCCAGACCTTATGTCCACTTCCAAAAAGAGCAAAAGAGCAACATCCTCAGCTTGAACTCTAGAGCAGGAAATCGCCTGCAGAGCCTGTGAGCTCGTAGGGACATGGTCCTATGTTAATTAAAGCACAGAGTAAGTTGTGCAGCTAGACGAAACCACGACATGTAGCCAAGGTGGAGGAAGTGATCCGAATTCAAGACGAGGGAAATTGTCCAAGCCCTAGGCTGGAGACCATTTCAGTCACAAAGACCGCACACATGCGAAAGATAAACTTGCAAAGAAGGGAAAGCGAAGGATGTCGTGCAATATAACCAAGTCGCATCTTGCAACATCAAGCTGAGAAACGATTTGGGGCTTCGAACTTGGCAAGGCAGCACACAAGAGCGGAGCCTTGTTGCACACTGGGAAATGTTACCACGCCCGTGCAACGTCAGAACGCTGAATGGACAGTTGGTCTCCCATCAAGCGTAACCTCGAATCACCCATCAGAGGAACCAACGACTAAACATGAAGCACGTAACCGCTATGTACAACACCAGCGATAACTCCGAACCGTTGCGAGCACAAAAGACAAAAGCTGTGCTGGTGCTGTTTTCCCAGGCGAGGATGGCTTGAGGCTGCAATGAACTCAGGGATTCCTCCTGATTCACTGCCTATCAAGATTCCACTAGGGGCTCCGATAAAGTCCTTCAGGTTCGGGCTTAATGGAGCTGTTGAGGCAGGGCTCATGAGTTCAGTGTTTGGACTGGACCAGAGTTCCCCTTCCCCTGGGTGCAAAGCGCACACACTACGAGCACAGACCCTACACATCCGTCAGGCAACGAGCTACCTCGGCAGTGGAAGTCAGGCTACGGAGGTTTTGGGGACAGCTTGTAAACGACCTCGAAGACCGAAATATTCACTACTATGGACACGACGGTCCTTCTGAATACACTTTATTCAGTGCCGGGAAGTCCTGTTGACAGCAGAACCACGAACACCGCAGAAGTCACGAGCCCAGGCTTGCTACTAATCTCGAGTAACTAAGACGTACCAGTCTGGAAAGCATGGTCGCCGTTCTTATATTCCTCAAGAATTGCTCATTCCAACTTAGCATTGCCCTTGGGACGGGCACTCTCCACACACAACAGAGTTAGGTTTGCCAGCTGCCGTCTCTGAGTCTCTGTGACTGACTAGGTAGATCATCAACGATGATGTCGTATCGAAATTTTGGCGAAGCCATACTCTCCCCCATTCGGCCTGTGCATGCCTCTAACACGAAGCCGAACATCCTACATGCCCACTGCATTCAAACCCTCTCTCAGTGTATGCAACAGGAACCTTTCCTGACCTCGCGTCCTCCGGGTTCAACATGAGCTTGCTCAAACGCGAAGGGATGTGGCAAAGAAAACCCCTCATTTAGACCCCAAACGCTTTTTGTCTACGGCGGTTTGCAGGTCTGATTACGCATGTGAGTGTGAGTGTGTGTGCATCAATTTATGTATGTGGCTGTAGTTGAGTATGTATGCATGCATGCATGTACATAGGTAGGTATGCAGAGATGAATGCATGCATGGATGAATGAACGTTTGCACACGCGCGGGAAACCAAGTACTCGGGTGTGGGCTCGTGTAAACAGTAGAACTGAAGAGAACCAAAAACCACAGTAGCCAACAAAAGCAAAAACAAGAACACACTTTCCAGGGACTAGTCTCCCAGATATCTGTTGTGTTGTGTTTCGCTCTGTTTGTTGTCTTTTGGTGTTGCTCTTTTCTCTTTGTTTCTTGGTTGGTTTGTGAATGTTTGTATAGATTCTTATCAACCAACTAGTTTGCCGTTCTGGGCTGCGAACCACACGTATTTTTCAAACAACGTCTAGGATTTAAAACGAAATTGAAAACGAGTGAATGAATGAATGAAACAGGCATCGTGCAAGCACTTGTATTTTATGACAGGAACGTGGGGGCCGACCGGGTTTCCCTCCCTGCATGTGTATGTATATTTATATATATATATATATGTGTACATATATTGGTCTGTATGCGTACATACATGCAGAAACAAAGAGAAAGA